AACCTCGTTTGCTCTCTGCTGGGCTTTACATGAAATGAAAGGACAAGTTTCCCAAAATAGTCACATCATCTCCTTGATGTTCCTATCTGATGAACCAACTTCTTTTTGGGTTACGTGGTTCTTTTCCACCTCCACCATCGTAGCTTCCTCTCCATTTCACTCTTGACTCTCGTCACCTGACTGGCCTGCTCGAAACACTTAGTAACCTGAGGAATAATAAAGGATAAAGGATAAAGCATTTGCCGTTGATCAATCCCTTTTGGGATGCGGCACGCATTCTACTTCCATTTGTACATTCGTAGTGGCGTTTGAATGCGATGTGGCCTATACAATGACTTGCGGGGGCCAGCCGATGTACAAGTCAGTGTTTTTATCCTCCCAGACAAGTCTGGTACCAATTAACCGACCCCGGAGGGATGGAAGGCTTGGTTGGCCCGGGCGACTCACGACCCAGGATTTGATCCCCCCCCCACCGCTCGCGTGGTAAGCGTGCCACTTTGCCTTCTACACACTTCGCTCCGTAAAACATATCATGTACAAAGAGTGCAATATTTTATAAGTGGTTATTTTGGGTAAGCGGGATTGATTGCATTCTGGCGGCATCGTTACGCAGTGTACTTCCGCGTCCCGTGGATCTTCCCGTTGTTCTGAATGAGCAACGATCAAATTCGGTCGTGGTCGGTTAACCCGGAAAAGATGTCAAGGTGAAACGAGCTTGCGTGATCGATAGATGACCTCGTTGGCGTCATTCGGCTCCTTCAACAGGTCTTTTGACGAAACTTCTCCTGACGCCCACTCTATCATCTTGATTAGAGATGACCTCATGTTCCTGCTGTTTACTAAACAGTGCGATGTCGTAATCATTCGGCGAGTATCGGATCTTCCTTGTGTTTCTGTTCACGAAAACTGTCTCGATGTTTCGTGTGAATCACCCCACAGAACTTGTCTTGCTAATACCTTTTGGACAACAGACAGACAAAAGAAAAGGGAAAACAAGAGGTCCTCAAAGACAGTCAGGAACGTGCCGTAGAAGGCTGTTAGTGAAAATCCATAATTCAGCGCCTGTACTTTCACTCATAACTCTGTTATCACATCACGCACTTATAGATAGGCTACAGGTTCCCGTTATTGTCTGAGATATCTAGATGGCGCTATCCCAGAACTTCCTGAAGATTTACAAGTTTCTCTAGAGGTCAATATCAAAGGCAGATGGTACGATAAATTGGTCCCTACTGGAAAATAAAAACTGAGGGGTGAAGTTAGGCAGTGAAGAAACAAAACATAGGAAATGGCCTGAAGTCTGCGAATGGAACCCATTATTGCTCATGATTTCACGCGTAGGGAATTATTTGGAATGGATTTACGCGGATATTTGGAAGGGACGAGCTGTCGCGGTGGATGACGTCACTGAGAAGGCCTAGTTATGTCTCTTTAACTACTCTCTAGGCGGAGAGAGATCTTCTTAGCATCATCTAATCCAAGTTCAAAGTCGAGTCCACCACCTGAGGACGGGAGCTACCGCAAATTTCTGTTATTACGGGTAAGCTTTGCTAACAGGGTCAACCGTGCGTTCGCACTATTCGAACGAGGGGGTCGCATTTGTAGTTGGTTTGGGAGAGGGGTCGCATCAGCCAGGTTGCTCCCCAACCCTCCCCCCCCCCTCCCGGCTGCGCCGTTTAGAGGGGTAATTTTGAGGGAAAAGTGGGCGGATGCTGGCTCTGTCGACTGGTCTCAGAATCAAATACTATGGAAACAGCAATAATAGCGAGGAGAGTGAATGCATGCGCGGAGAGCACAAACGGCTCGAGGGTGGCGAGAGTGAGCATCCGCGTGGAAGAGCGTGGAAGAAATCTTCGACGAACCCGTTGCGTTTTTCAGCGATGTCACACTGTTCCTGGTCTCTGGATGTGGGGGAGTCAACCCTGCGTTGCGCAGTTCGCAACGGCACGTTGAGAGATCCTCAACGCACGCTGTATGGGCGGAGACGCACAGACGGCTCGAGCATGCGAGTGTGAATGTTCGCGCGAGAGAACGTGTCTAATCGGGCGAAACTGCGCAACGTGGCCGTTGAGAACTGCGCAACGCAGGGTTGACTCTGGTTGGGAGGCGCCTCGAGACTCCTAACGGAGGGAGGGGGGGGGAGGGGTCGCAAAATTTCTGAAAAACGTGCGAAGTCACAGTTGTCCCTGTCTGCTGTCACTGCAGGCATGCCTTCCTACGCGAAGGGGTACGCCTTGTTTCCTCAGAGGCTGAGCTCAACATCGTATAGACGCATTACCTGTCCTCAAACAAATGATCCAGCCCACTTTCAGATTGCTAACGGTTGCAAATGTGCTAGTTCAAACGAATAAATTGCGTGTCGCACGTTTGAACTATTGTTTATACAGTTATGCACGTACCGTAATACCATTCATTCCGAAGATGGGTCAATTTGTTCTTCTTGTGAAGAGAGCGCGAGACTTGGGTGGTCTATGCTCATTCACTTTTGCAAACTAGTTGCTATTACTTTTTTGCTGTAATACCTTTTTCTGGCGATCGAATGAGTACGATGAGAATTGAAATACTTGACCATGGGTCCCATACTAGCCCATTTTGCAACTAAGGTTGTAAGGAAACTTCTTGTCGTTTTCGATAGTTCAACTTTCAAGGCACCATTTTTGGATGAGTTTTTGTCAGACGCAGTCACATGTAGCATATTACTAAGCAGGCATGATTTTTGCTTATCGCGATGGTGGTCTTAACGATCTTGGCTCAACTGCTCCTACCCTCAAGGCTTGAATACGAACATGGCTTACCAAACGAACCACATGATTTTGTCTTCTACCCAAATTAGGCAGAAAGAAGGAAAGCGAAATCAGTCATGGTGAGACTATTGTTTGAAAATGCCTTATGAAAAATTTGCTGTGCGGATACTTGACAGCTTGTGTGGCGAGAGACTCGAAGGGGGGGGGGGGTGAGGTGACTCGCTGGATGTTGAATGTTGGTAAAATTAGCTGGAACATTTGATAGGACCAATGTGCTCAGAACTGTTGGGGAGACCGCTACTATATCAGGCATACTGATTTGTGGTTCCAAGACACGACGGATAGGTTGAAAATCGAAAAGATAATACGGGAGTGCCGGAAAAATCGCGTTTCGTAGACGGCCTGCGCCTTTTTCCTACTCCGTCTTCCGGCGAAGAGGACGGGTTGTTCAGTTGAAGAGCACTATTGAAGGATGGATTTTCTTGCAATAATCATGAGCTTCAGCCGAATGATTCAGGCTAGGGTCAACAAAACTTTGCGAATGTGAAAACTGCACGTGGACAGGGTTGTTCTGCCTGTTTCGCGGTCTGCAGCAGGCGCAGCTCTCCGAGCATAAACGGAGCTATAACAGCGGGACAGTGTTCTCCACAAGGTGTCAAAATACCCTGAAGACTCGACACATGCACCCAGCAAGCGCTGCTAGAAAAAGGCCGACTCTTCTCTGCGATGCACCTCGGCCGACGACCACAGCAAAAAAAAGAAACAGCTGAAGTTCGGCGGTTGACAGGGGACCAATCTGGTTATGTATAATGGACAAGGGGTAAAACATGGCATCATGCTACCAAATTCCACCGATTTGCATCAGTTTGCTTTCCAGCGTGTTCCCAAAATGCCAGTCTTTTTTCGGACTCCGTTCTCCAAACTCCAACAATCTTTCACAAAAATTTTACCGTGCGAAATCTGCATCATAAGAAAGTCTAGAATGATATCACCACGAGTAAGAATGACGTTGACACCGCGAATCGTATACCACACTGATGTGATGGTTTGATTTATTACCTTGTGGTGATCACAGGTTGGTTGGAAAACAGCAGTTTGGTATGCTATTCGAGAAGAGGGCATCTAATCAGTAACCAAATTTATTCAGTGTCTAACTTTGTCTATAAGAACTCACGAAACCAGCCCAAGACACCGAAACTGTTCGAATAATAGTCGAAGTGAATCGAATAAGAGCTTCAGAGAACATCTTTTGTAGCTCTTATTCGACTCCATGCTTGTCCATGCTATGTAAAAGACTTGCAGCGGTCGAAGCGAATTGCCTTAATCAACGTTCTACATTACAAAGCTCAACTTTCCAGGGCGTCTAAGCGCGCTAGCACTATTAGCAATAGTGAACGTAGTGCAAAGGCAAGCATTCGCGAGGCAAGACTCAACGAGAGGTGGAGGGACGTGATCGAAAAGGACTTAAGGGCATGCCCCACCATCACATTGGTGTGGCTCCTGTACACGAATACGAATTTATTGATGCGAAATGAGTCGACTGTAAAGAAAAAAGGAAAAGAATCCGTCGAAAATGCTTAGGCGGCAGAGGTCGCTTGGTTGTTTCTGTGTTCTGTGGATATTGTTCTTATGCTTTGTCTAGGCGCGGTTATTAGTGTAGTTATCTTCTTTTTTTTGTAGGCTTGTTAGATGTTTTGTCTTATCGTGTATGATATTGGGCTGTCTTAGATTATAGTTAATATGTAAATGCTTGGTTATGTCTATGTTTCTTATTCTTTTTGTCTTAGTGTCTATATGTTGTGTCTCTATTTTTGTTCTGTTGTCTGATGATTTCTTGCTTATCGTTGTTTGATTTGTCCTTTTGTGGGTTTATACATTGATCTGTGAGTGTTTTGTTACTATCTTTGATTTTGTTCTTTTGTGTTGTTGTGGCTTTAAGTGCTAGTCAATGGCCAATTAGAAGGTGCCTAGGCAGAACGAGTGGTGACGACTGAGTGTCCCTACGACTGCGCGGACTAACGCTAGGAACAGAAAAGCAATAGTGGATGTGTTATTTGCTTCTTTTTGTGAGCCTCCGCATACTACGCTTCTGCGTATTCCAAGAAAAACTGCTTTAACATTTCAAGAAGGCCATGTTGTTAAGAAAACCCAGTGGGGAGCCTCTTGACATGGCTTGAAGTAGTTCCCGAATTGCCCTAATACTCGGCTTCTTTTCAGGAGGGAATTGCTCGCGTCAAAGCAGGGAACTATGCTTACATGATGGAGTCATCAATGCTCGAGTACTACATGGAGAGGGACTGCCAGCTGCAAAGTATTGGCGGACTTCTCGACTCAAAGGTGAGTTTTCGGATATGTTATCGACGCTCAAGCTCAAGCCCTACCCCCTTTTGGCTGCGGGCTCAAGTTGGCCCACTTCATGTGTTGTTTATGAAAGCGTGAAGGAACAAGTAGGTAGCGATTTCAGGGTTATGGAATCGCAGTTCCTAAAGGGTCACCACTTCGGGACATACTGTCTCGAACGGTTCTACAACTGCAGGAACGGACTATACTCGAGGCCCTAAAGAGCAAATGGTGGCGCGATATGAGAGGTCTGTTCACTTCGTCAAGCCAATTTGTGTGACTTCTCCAACGACTGCTCGATTTCAGAAGGTCCATCCTGTTCTCCGCAATCAGAGAAGTCTCGGGCGTCTCCTCCTCAAAGTGTTTTTGGTGAGTTTTCTGCCTTACCACATACTCTTAAATCATCGGAAAGGCATCCAGTCATTTGGAAAAATCTCACACATTCGGTGGTGATTGCTTTAGAAAGCGAAAGTATGTAGAGATGCGAAGTAAGGTGTCAGCGAAGAAAAAAGTTCACAAAACTGTTTTGTTTGTTTACAAAACCACCAGACGCTAAAGTAGGAGATATTCAGCTCAAGTGGAGTTAATCTCAATATTAGTCCGAAAACATTGCAAACATGGTGTTCGTTTTTCGGCGCGAACTACCCTATTCACAACAGTCCATAGTATAAGTAGTCTAACAAACACTGCGCGTCCATTAAGAAAGCGACTTGAGGACGAGATAGCATAGGAGCTGAACGAGATGCAAAGATCAGCGCATCTGTAAACCGCTGGTTGTGCTGAAGAGGGATCACAAGCTCCTTGCCAACTGCTTCTAGTGATGGAAGTGGCTTTGGAAAGTTATTTTACCAGTTACATGGGATGTTTCTATTGAAATATCGCGATTCCCCCCCACTAAGAATGCGTAACTACGCATGAATGCCTGGCTTGTTCTCAAGCGCACACTTTCTTCCAATTTCATTACAATAAATTGTCAATCAGAACTGCTAAGGCTCAGTGCTATTCCCATAGCCATTCTGCCCCTCGTCCGTGCCTCCGTCTCGTAAATGATGTCATTCAAGGGCAGCGATTACGATAGATTCAAGAAGGGTTCAAAGGAGACGTGGTGGTGCTCAATGGTACGCAGTGGCGAAAAAAGCGAGAAATCCGTCAAGAAAACGCAAAACGGGACCCCCTTTTTGGCCGTTGGTTTTCACTCATGAACAGGTAACAGCTCAGAAAGCGGACGTATGAACGAGTTCACCGCAACGCGTTTGGTGGCACATGCCAAACCACGCTCCAATCGAGTTGCTCCAGTTGTGCCGCTGCTGGCAACGCAGCTCGTCCAAATCACCAACTAAACTAGTGGGCGGATCGCTTTTGGGGGCGGAGCGCT